TTTAAGAGGCGTCTTTTTTTTTTAGGACCCTTTTCGTTAACTTTGGAGTCCTTTTTCCCATGGCAATCAGAACCTTTGTCATCCTCTTATTTAACTCTCTAGGGTCTTTTTTGTTATTAAAAACTCACTATCTCCATCAGCTCTGTCAGTGTTTTTTCTTTAAATCCTTTAATCTTCTGCAATTTTTTTTTTAATTTCTGGGGTCGACTAAGATACAAAGGCAATATTTATAGTGCAGCAGTTCTCAGGGGCTTTAGGATCTATAGGTGTATATATCCGATAGGCCTCTTGGAGGTGCTCTAAGAACGCCAATGGAGACTCATCAGGTCCCTGACTGACCTCTGTAACTTTAGACAAATTAGTAGGCTTTCTAGCCGCCGCCCTGATTGCCCCTAAATGAAGCTGGCGATACTGATTAAGAGCCTCCTTACCTCTATGGGAATTAGAATCCCAGTTAGGAAGAGTCAAAGGGAAGGACTCCTCCAGTCGTACAGGATCTGAAGCTGGTTGGCCATCTGGGCCCAAAATTAATTTTCGTCCACACCCCCAGATTCGCTCCTGCTCTTCAGATGTAAAGAGGGTCTGTAAAAGCTGTTGGCAATCATCCCAAGTGGGCTGATGGGTGAAGAAAACAGATTCCAGAAGAGATATAAGCCTTTGAGGATTCTGAGAGAAAGAGGGGTTTTGGTTTTTCCAGTTATATAAATCACTAGTCAAGAAGGGGACATAAACCATGAAAGGGTGGTCATCTCCATCCAATTGTTTACGGAGAGGAAGTACTGAGGCTGGTGCTGAGGTGGGAAAAAGGATCAGGATCAGATGGCGGGGGCTGAGAAAAGGGCAGGCCGCTACGGGTATGCGGCAGACTCAGAGGAATGGAGGAGTCGGGGCTAGCTGAAAGGTTAAGGGAGGGACGGGACAGTTTAGGGTAAGGAGGGGGAGTCGGGGATTCAGATGTCGGGGCAGCACAGGTGGCCTTTTAGGACTCGAGGATCCTTTTTTGGAGCGGCGGCCAGTACCACCATACCAGAGGTGTGTTGGCGTGATGCCCAGGCACGGCGACAGGTTTTCATCCACTTTGAAGGGTCGTGTAATAAATCTATCCATGCTTGAATATATGGGACTTGATCAGGTGTCCCGACTTTTATATATGACCCTATGGACCTGATAAGCAAGAAAGATATTAAAAGAGCCCTCCAGAGGCCATATGGACTCCGATAGGCGGGGCCACTCCAGTTCGCACAAAGTGCAGAGAGTTCCCGGGAAGACAAGGTCTCCGTAGTCAGCAGCTTCCTGGAAATGATCAAAAATACATTGCAAAGGCGACACAGAAGCAGAAGCAGACTGACCCATGGCTATCAGACAGACAAACGACAATCGGCGGGAACACACAAAAACGAAACAGAAACAGACCTGAGACTCCAATCTGTCGTCACAGAAAGGAGTCAAGCCCGGAGGCTATCGCTGCGTCCAGCACCTCTTAGGACTCTCAGAGGCGGCGCCCCGACAGAACAGACGCAGATGTCTTACCAGCAAGCGCTTTCAGATGGCTCGGTCTAGTCAGTCCGAATGATAGGATTTATGAGTTTTTGGACACCGTCCCAGGGCCAGAAAGTTCCCCTGGGGAAATGGTTTCCAAAGACTCTGTTTCCTATGATTGATCCCCAATGAAGGGGATCCCAGACGAGCCCCCAAATGTTATGGGTCAACTCTGCATAGGAATCAGATCAGCCAGATAGAAATTTGAATAGAGCCTTTTATTTACTGAGCTCAGGTACTTCTCGCAGGAGAAGGCTGATCGGCCCCGAACGTAGGTAGCAAGGGGGTATTTATGACAGAAATCACATCCAGTTTGGTAAGCAAACTTGTTATCTAGTACAGAACAACAGAAACTGCATTTATTTGACACAGCTGTAAACTGTTTATAATTAAAAGGTCTTTTACAGCTTAGTGATAAGTGTATATTTTTATAAGACATATCTTAAGCTGACTATGTTTGGGGAGGGAGTTTGTGTTAGCTTGTTGTCTTGACAAGAAGCAGTTATTTATTGTTGAACAGCCTTGAGCCGAAAGGAAGAATATATTTCTTAGAGCAGATAACAGGAAGCACAAGGGGTTTTTATAATTTTTTACAATTAAGGCACAAAACTCTATTAACCCTTTACAAGGACGACAGCGGGTAACAGTCTATGTGGGAGGAGGAAAATAAAATTCAGTGACGATAATGTAAAATTTCTCAATGTTATAGAGCTTTATTTTAAAATGAATGATTATGGACATTATATCACTACACTATATAATACTGAGCAAATTTCACAGGGCGATTTACAAATGTCAAAAATGACAGGCGTGGGGGCGCACACCTGTAATCCCAGCATCGGGAGGCCGAGGCAGGAGGATCGTTGCAAGTTCAAGGCCAGCCTGACCTACAAGGTGAGCTCAAGGCCAGCCTGACCTGCATAGCACCACCCTGCCTCAAAAAAACAAAACAAAATCAGTATTTACAAGAAGCCAGACATTCCACCTTTTGCAACTGTTTAAATTTAAAACGTTAAACCAATATTTTCAGAGCCACGAGTGGGGGAGGAGTATAATCTCAAGCGAAGCCTCAAGTATCACTCGGGTGTTCGGCTAAATCTAAAACCAGGCCCAGCAGCCTCCAGGGCCAGCGGCTTCCGCCCGCCTCGACCTCGCCCTCACTAAGGGCACACGCGCGGCAGTCGCGCTTCCGCCCGCCTCACCGTCGCCCTCACTAAGGGCACACGCGCGGCGAGTCCCGGCCCCGCCTCCGCCGCTCTCCGCAGCGCCCCGCCCACCAGCCCCGCCCCGCGCATGCGCGCTGCGCCGCCTTCGCTTCCTCCTGCTGTGTCATGGCCGGGCGGAAGTGGCGGCCGTACGGGGAAGGGCGTCCTTACAATGGGAGGCGCCTTCCCCAGCTCTCCTTTTTCCTCCCCCAGCACCTTTCCGAGCGCCCGTTTTAGGCAGCGCCCTACCCTGCACTCTGCCGAACACCTCGTAATCCACCGACTTGAGCAGCGCGGCGGCAGACATGGCGGCGGCGGCGACGGGCGCGGGCGATACCTGGGCCGGGCGGAGCGCCGGGTCACGCGGCGGGAGGCGGCCACGGGGATGGCTGCGTGACTCCCCCGCGCGCACG